ACTCAAATTTGTGCGCCTTTTGTCCATTAAAATGAAGCTATAAATCATTAATAAAATATTTACATATATAGGAATTTCAGCATACCAAAGCTGAATGGACGGATCGACATGGTTAAATCGACCGAGACATTTTTGCTGTCTAAAAAGGGTAACTATGAGGTTTCTTATTAAGTTTCTGGTGGAAACGAAATAATAAAACTAACTTTTTCACTGACGGAAATTCGCGTAGACTAAAGCAAGCATTTAATTTTTTGAATATTCATTAGACGGAAAAGCCTATTCTCAGAAAAGGACGTATTTAATGAAGTTGATTTACACTAAAAACAAGTAAAAGCACTATAACCGGCCAAGGCGAACTATTAAATAATCTACGCTTCTCTTCACCTAATACATTTCTTCATTTAGTTTCTGACAATACATCGAGCATACTTTCCGTGGAAACTCTTCAAAATTAGGCTGAGTTAGTTTTCTTGTCAGAGATCTTATTATTTATTCTCCTTCGGTTTTTTCCCCCAAATGAAAATCTTTAGAAAAAATGCAGAGTAGTACCAAGAATAAACCAAAGTGGTATAAATTCGGTACAAATTGGAAATTTTTGTTCCACAACGGCTTTTTCAAAATAAGTCGTCATATGGCCCCAAGTTATAGATGATATATTTACAATTAATTAAAAATAAATATTCCTTAATATGCATTATAAGATTCATCACTGTTATAAGACGTAATAAAAGTGCAGAGTTCTTCTTATTTTTTTACTTTAGGTGACTCACATATAGCAACACGTATTCAATAGTTTAGGACTCACCAAAGGAGTATTTGTGGGATTTTATAACATCAATATAAAATAATCAACAGATAAATTCTTAAGGGGGATAACGATTGTAAATCTTTCAGAAATTGTTCATTTATTGGGAAAAAATGTTGTGAGACAAAAATCCTTTACATTGAAAAAATGTGTTCCCTGAAATTTGGAGCTCTTCCGCAAGCGTTCCGAATTCAGACAAAGTAAGTCTGTTAATAAATTTCTGCTGGGACAACCTAATGAGTTAATTGTTAATTTATATTTCTTATTTAATACATTAAGAGACGTCTACAGAAAGTATTTTTATGCTCCTTTCAAAGCGCATTTTCAAACAAGGATAGGTTAATAGCTAACTTCATCTGCATACGAGAGTAAAAGTAATTGGAAAGGTGTCAATGCTTTTGCCAAGAAATGAAAAGTTCAGAATACAGTTTTTAATATTAATTATGAGAAGGACATTTTCTTGTTGTTACATCCTTTATTTAACAAATTTAAAATGTGCAATTTGTGATTCTGTCTGTGACAAATGCAGCAAAAGAGATACTTCGGAGTAAGACTTATGAATGAATACGGATATATGAAGATGGCAGAACATTTTTATTATCCTGAGATTGGAGATTAATGGAAAAAACTAGTGTAATAAAACGATTTTTTTATTTATTACTTACATGAGCAACAGATGGATAAGCAATTAATGCTTTCAAATCAACTTGTCGTAAACAAATAAAACTAACTAAAACTCCGCCTACTAGTCTAATCGAAATTCAAATGTAATTATATTTTAACCCTACAAATTAAAAAAAAAATTGAAGAAAATTTAATTTTCTTACATTTTCATTAAATACAGCTTAATTTTGAAGAGCTTCCACGGAAAGTAAGCGTTCAACATGCTACTCAGCGCCCGTCCCATCATCCGAGCCGAAGGATATCCGGATTTACTAGAAGAAAATTTAAAATCGCAGAGGAGGTCGGGCTGGATGTAAGAGCGGTGGTCTGCAATAGAATCACCCAAATTCGCCTGACATTGGTGAAGTTCGGTGATGGCAAAACACCAGACAACGAGCGGATGGCAGCGTGTATACAATCGTAGACATGTTCGACTATATACATATTCTGCACGCATTTAACAAAAAAGGTGTAAAACAGAAGCGACGATACTATGCCGCAATTGTCACAAACTTAGGCATGCGGAACGCGTCCATCTCGAAGAGGAGAGGCGCCAGCTTGTTAGTTTGCGTATGTCATAATTTTACGGATACAGTTCGATTCTTTACCAGCAACGTTAAAAACAGTCATCAGAAGAAAAATCTTCGTATAAACTTTACGACGCATTCACAAAATTCAAAAAAATATTTCATCAATGCAGGATCAGCAACACCAAATAGCAGGTCCAAAAAGCGGTGCTAGCTGAGGTAAAAAAACATCTACAGGACTTCTTTGTAGCGGACCTGCTAGCGACCGAAACCATCATAACAATAGAAAACTTTGAGGAATTAATGGATGGGCTGCTAGAGGCAGACTCTGACATAACCATCGAGGCCTACAGGGTAAGCTAGGACCTCTTGAAGAGGTTTTTCTTTAAGATGGCGCCATCATGCAGAAAACGCACCAGATCGGCATTTGAAATAAAGCAGCTGATCACACGGCTAATGAAATCGCAGATTGAATTTTGGAGAAGCGCCTCCGTAACAACCAACAATTACCTTGTTATAGAAAAGATGGATTACACGGTGGAAGACCAGGCCGAAGGAGACTTTCTACCATTCGGCCTGGATGGCGTGGTATATGACGAGACAGTCACCGGCCAACTAAGTAACAAGGAGGAGGACTACATCGCGCTGATCACGGACTACGGAATAGCTCAATATATACGTGAGCAGCTAGGATGCGAAGCATGCCTAAACGACCTAACGCTGAAAAAAGAAGATGCCTGCGAAGAAACGAGCGATAACATTGTCGCCAAAGACAAAAGAGACTATGTCATCCTCCACCACGAATATCTCGAACCTGAGTTCCCAAATACTGAACTATATGACGCATTTTGTAACACCTGCGATATTAACACAGCCGTTATGCAGAAACGTATGGCGGAATGGGACAGCGGCAAGCGCGTGCAGGCGACAATAGTGGCACGGCTTGCCTTCTTCAGGGAAGCAGGCTCCTGTACCAACGGAAGAAGCCATCGAACAAATCTACTCGGTTTCATCATCCAATTGATACTAAAGAAAGAAAGATTGGAAAGAACTGAGTGCAACCAACAGTTACCAATGTGTAATCGTTTTAAAGGTCCGCAAGAAATGTAGCAAAGGAAAATCGTGCGGGAACACCAGCAAAATGAAGGTAAATAAATTGTTATATTGAATTAAGTTACAAATTACTAATTTTTTTCTTTTATTTTAGAATACAAAACGTCCGTCCACCATACGAAGAAGGAAACTCGAGCGACGAACACAGCAAAGTAAAGTTAATCACAATTTTATATAAATATATTTATAAATTAATAATTTTTTTTCCAACTTACATCCTTATTTTTATTTAATCTTAGATAAAAAGACAAGCATAAGCCGTTCTATGCCGTTTAAATGTCGCCCATTACCGTCTCATTGCTTGCTCAACCTAAGGTAATTATAATGCATTCATCTTTACTTATTATTATTACAATTTATTCATTTCTTTTCATTTTATTTTAGATTAAAAAACATGCCTCCACGCGTCGCTTCAGCATAATCCGATACTTCCATAGGCTAAATGGTAAGTTCTGGTCGTCTTCGTATATAAAATTTATTAATCACAATATTTTTCTTTCGCAGATGTCAGTACATCGATGTAATTATGTATTATTATGTATTATTATTATTGTAAATATTGTTGCAGTTTTTAATTAAGTTTATAATGGTGTACGCCTATAGGGGAGCCAAACATTTAGAACAATTGGCAACGCGCCTATCACGGTACCTCAAGGATGGTTTGGAAAACCAACCCTTTCAATTTGAGGAAGCATTGCAATGATCCTGCCGTATTAATTTTGTTTTGATATTGATATTATTGCATGCAATATATTTTTCCCCCACCATTTTGCAAGGGTGAATAAAATAAATACCCACAATCACATGCTTTGTAATATTTGATGTAATTGTAGATAATGAAAAGCCAGAAGCTAAGCAAAAAACGTTTGGAGGCTCAATTTGCAACTTTACAAATTGTTTCAAATGTTGAGAAATTGGGTACTGCTCCCGTAAAAGCTTTGAGAGAATTTTTGCTTAAAACTTTTTAAATACTTTATGATCTTTTATTCTCAGCAGGCCATGATTGCACGTGAAGGTGATTTATTGACACGCGAACGCTAATATGGTTTTAATTTTGCAACAAGGGACTAATAGATCATATTGTTTACGTAAAACAAGGAAATCCAGTTTACAATGTCGAATTCTTAATCAGACATGAAAATCCTTTTTTTCTTCCATTTTCTTCCATTCTTTTACTTATCATAGGATAAGATGCTCCTATGAGCATAACTTATCTATTTTGCAATATTGTTATTGGCAAAGTTGGAGTCCCAATTCGAGAATTGTGTGTTTTACACGGCGTTTCTGTTGCGGCCTTAGCATTTTCGAAGTTATACGCAATTTAATTAAAAATTATTTGCATGATCTCGTCTGGACTGGACCATCGCCAGGTAATGGCATTATTCATGTTGACAAATATTCAGAATTTCATCATTTATGGTCGGCTTTGCAATTTGTTTATTGTACACCGGTATGAGGCACTGAGTATACTATAAAAGAACTTTTCGGTGAAGGTTTGAATTGGCCTGGTTGTGCAATGATTGTTCTATTGGGCCAACAAAGGCGTTTTAAAGCTTTGGATTTTTGGTATCACATCTTAAGAGTGCAGCGTGTTGACGGCAAAAATGAAGATGTCAAAGGGATTGTAAATCCTACCCGTCTAACGGTTACTTAATTTTCCATACCTAGTGAATTATTTATACCTGATTTTATTAAAATTATGCAGAAACTTAAACGTATGGTAGACCCTGTAAGACGCTTTGAAGTATTGAACTCGCAGATTTTCGCTATACTGAAAGGTAGTGACGTTGAAAGATCCAAGGTAGAGAATTTACGATGCTTCCCATCGCCTCCCTCTATTATATCGTCGCATTCAAGATCCAAGTAAATTGCGGCAAAGCTTGAATAATTATATGAATATATATATATATATATATATATTGCGTTCGTTCCATGTGGGTACAAAAACTTCAAAGAAATCCCAATATTGGGCTCATGCCGATCATGTGGAATTTTTGAAACCCTATCAAGGGCCAGGAAGGTGCGTAGATAACGAAAAGAAAAAAAAAAGAAAACAGATCCACATATTTTGCCTTCTGATATATCAGAAAGAAGATGAAGATAATGAATGTGATTTGGGATATCAGGTGTTGGCCAAACCCACATCTAATAGTGGTGACGACGATTTAAACACTTCAATAACGCAAACTCAAACGGCTACTAATAATACCAATAATGCGGATGGAATCAGCGGTAATATTAGCGGTTTGCCGTTAAATACCTCTCCGACTGTTGTGAGTTGTAGTTCAGCGATAGGCTTAGTAAATGCCACTAGTAATACCACCACAACCGCAGCAAGACTTGTTTTGCTTTACCTACAGTACAATTACCACCTTCTTTAATAGTTACGTGGCAAAGTCAAGCTTCGCTCCCGGCGTTGAATACCAAAAATCCGATTACAATGCAGTACCGCTAGCTCTGTAGATTGCCTATTCCAAGCAAATCGGGACCTTAATACCTTATTCTTTCTCAGTTTGGCCAAACAAGTGTGAGCAACGCCAACAAAATTTCACTCTTTAGCCAAAATGCGTTGCATGCGCATTGTCAGCGATATTGAACTCGAGCTTGATAACTTTTTGATTATGTCTATAAAAATTCGGGCAGTTTGGAGCTTGGCTTTGTCAATCTGCACACTACCCTCTGTTGAAATTTCGACCAATGGCAATTTAACGATTTATTATAAATAAATTAATAGAAAAAGTTTGTATAAATAGGTATGTAAAAATACATATAAAAAAAGATCATCTTGTATACACATACAGTTTTTTACATCATTTGTTACCAATGATATCAATTACGATGTTAATGGTTAATGGATTCCCCCACGGATGGCCAAGCAGCTCCAGCACATAAACGAGAGATTTACGCTCGGATGAAGAGAATACTTTAAACGGTAATTGAGCAAAAGAAAAAGGATTCAAAATGTAGTCATACTTTGTACGTAAGTGGAATGTTGACAAATACGTATAAAAATCAGTATTTTTTCAAATATAAATAAAAAAAAAGTCAGTTAAAACAAAAAGATAATAAACTTCATTTTTAATTTTATGTTAATTAAAAGAAAGAAGGAACACATCAGGGCTTCCACATATTCACTCAAGCAATATTAAGAAATGAAAGCCACAAGGAATTATTAACAAATTTAACCCTGCCTTGAATGAATTTCATTCAAATTAAGTTCTGTGACGATAGCTTAATGATTTTTGCTTTCACTTGTCTTTTTAATTCTGTACTTTATTTTTGGTGGTTATGGCAAAATAAGCTACACCAGCTATCAGGAAAGCAGCTACCAATTCAGCTTTTACCCAAGGGCCCTTGTAAGCACCTTTAGTGGTAACGGTAACGTCAATTATGGATTTGACATTGGACGCTTTGGCCCCCCCATCTCTCTGAGCTTTACGCAAGCTGGAATAACCTTCCTCGTCGAATAAACGTACCACTACACTACCACTGGAACTCTTCTTCACGTCTTCAATCCAACTAACCTGTATTATTAAATTGCCAGTAAGTGCACAAAATTAACAATCTTAACGTAGTTTCTCTCACTTGATATTGGTTTTCAGCAACGCGAGCGACTGGTACTACCTTTCCGCATGGAAACTCCGCAAAAAGATTCGGTTTCACTTCATTGCTACATTTTAATGAAAATTCGCCGATGTGAGCCAATTGTGTTAAAATAGTGGCATCTTCTGTACTAAAAGATGTTATTGTGACTTTCGGATTGTTGCAACTGGTCGCCTGAACGGCGCTAATAATACAAAATCCGATCCAAAAACCAACTAAATATTCACGCATTTTAGTATTTATTTCCTTATTTTTATGAAAGAAATTCAAACTTGTAAGTCCTATAAGGACGATCTCGCTCTTCTATATCAAAAATTGTTTACCACCTAATTTGATATGTCAATTCTGCCACGAAGCTATGAACACGCGTCACAAATCGTCTGTTTTTAAAATATTGACCAAAACAGAGTTACCATTGCTTTATAATATACGCAGCCCGAAAGTGACGTACATTGACAAGCAAAATTTTCATTTCGGTGCTATAAATAATGTAAAGTCGAGCTCAAAATAAAAAAAAACGATTAAGAACATTATAACCCGGCAAGGCCAAATATTCTCTTCGTCTTGGTAATAGTATACCGAAAGTCCTTAAATGCGGCGGTATCCAAGAAATAAACTTGCATGGTCCATATTCACTAACGTTTATTTCAATGTCAATTTACTGTTAGGAACTACTTCTCATTCCGAAATATTAAAAACTATATTTTTTTACTAAATAAAAATCCAGTTCTGGTAGGAACTTTTCTAAGAGAGTGGGTTCAAAGCATTGGCTCGGCCGAACGAAATATTTCGTATCAATTAAAAATGTTAATATATTATAACGAGAAATTTTGAACATTGCAATTTTTGCCATATACCAACTTTTCCAACAAGGGCGCTGTATGGGTAGTGGTGCAGAAAGAGGCCCAATCTAAACCATTTTCAAGAGTATTCGTTCTTGGGTCAAAACACGTCAAATTTTACCAAAATATCTCAAAAATTGCGACCTGTCCCTTAAACACAAACTATTTAAAATAATTTTATAAGGTTTCCAGGTACTTACGTGCTATCTCAAATTTAAAGGAAGCTTATTGAACGATAAGCAGAATTTGCGAAGTGTTTTGTTTGTAATCTGATGTAACGCGAAATGATGATGATACTTATCCACTCACAAGCAACTCAAATGTTAAAATCTTAAAAAAAAAGCGTAGCTTTGAGCTCTTGTTTTACGTTTCCTATCATTATTTAATTTTAAGTTAGCCTAAAAGTAGACCGTGATTTTTTTTTTTTTTATTATCAATTTAAACAAAACAGTAGCTAAATTTTCTGCTACTTTACAGGAAGAACGTAATATTTTTGTTACTTTACAGAAAGAATATTAACAGATTTCGTGAGTTACAAATCTTTTTTAACAGATTTCGTGAGTTATAAAGCTGGCGGTTTTGCAAATTAAACCATCTGGCAATTTAAGTTTCTAGTTGGGCACTCAACCATTTTTGGCAATTTTTTTATTTATTTTGAGCGACTCTGTGCTTTGCCTTTCAATGTAATTTAAAGAACATTTTCGAATTAAAATTATAAAATTGCATTTGTGGCTGAAAGGCGGAAAAATTGAAACGATTTTAATAGGAAAAAAAAACTACGAACGAAAAAAACGATTTTAATACAAAAAAAAATAAATTGCCCAAAAACTCGAGAAAAAAAATGTTTCGTAGTCATTTGGTTTGGTGGCGCTTCGAATAAACCATGGTTGGAGTTGTGCATACCGCTCATTGCAATTGGATATTAAATGAAAAAGGAACAGAAATACAAAAAACCTTAGCGATGTTAGGAGATAAAAATCAAAAATTTATAGATTCTCGTGATTCGAAGTGTGCTACGTGATAGATGCTTTATATAATGTAACGAGCAAAATTTAACTAAGTTAGAGAAATTGAAAGATTATATCGGGTCGCTGGCGAAGTATTTCTTTCTTAATTTTTCATGAATCTTAAATATCTTTTCTTAACAATATTTATAAATTCGTTTAGCAATGTTTTTTTATATTAATTATCGAAGCAGTAAAAATATTAATTTCCTTTCTGCGACAACCTTACGCTGGTCACATCCAATCTTTTGTGGGAAGAAAGGATCGATACTTAGATTATATCTTACACATACCCATTAAATAAATTTAACCAGAGAATAAATTCTTTTCTTTAAAGCGCACTTGAGATTTGAAGCCACTCAGGCGAATAACTTGTAAAATTAAATAAGTTTAGTTCGCGTATTTTCTAAGACAATATATATGCATCTAGAGGAGATGATAGAAGAGCAAAAGCGAACCAGTCAAGGAAGAAGAATCGGATCTCACACTGTAACAAACGTTTACAAAGCCAAAGCATGTACAATTTCGAACTCTAACTGCATCTGAGCTATGTATGGCGTGTACATAAGTGTGTATATACGTAAAAAAAATCAAATGACGTTGGATCTAGTTTCGCTGTTTACATTAAAGCATTCTACATTTTGTATTCCCCAAATACTTTTGCTACTTTGCAAAGCCGTCGGCAAAAGTCCCCAATTTATTCCAAATTCTCTGCTAATTAATAAAAAACATCTGTTGAACTTCTATACAAACAAACAAACAAATAAAAAACATCTGTTGAAATTCTATATAAACAAACAATTTGGAAATTTAACAACAAAAACAACAGTAGTGGTGAATAAGTAGCGAATAAAGCATATAAATAAATAAAATAAAGTGAAAATAAATAAACCGTTTATAAAAAAAAATTAAGCATATTGTGGCTTTTCTTTCCTTTTTTAAGTTGAAATCCATTATACAGTATAGGAAACGAAGAAAAACGGAAAGATTATTAAATTATGCTTTGATTAGACTTACTAAGCCATATATAAACATATTTCGTCATCAAAAAGAAGATAAGACTAAAAAGAAATTCGAACAGGACGTATAAGCAATCTCAATAATTACCTAAAGGTAGGCAAGTAAAGCCAACGTTAAATCATCAATAAAATTCTCTGCTATTTGCAGAAAGAACGTAATGTTTTTGCAACTTGCAAAACCATCGGCAAAAGTGTATTTGAACATTACTGAGATGTTCGCAGGGATGTAAGAAAAGTGTTGCAAACTTTGCGTAAAAAAAAAACAATGTGAATCCTTGTGTTGAGTAAAAGTATTAATAATTGAAATGTTTTCGTTCGAAAAGTCTTCGAAGTTAATCGAATTATTTAGTTTAGTTGTTGAAATGAAAAAAGTAAATGAAATAATTCTTTTACAAAAATGCGTGAAAGAAAGTTGGAAAGTAATAATATAAAAAAGTAAGAAGTAAAAGTGAAAATCGTGCATTAATATAAAATTTAATTAAAAAAGATCATCTTCTCGCACATAACCACTTCAGTAATATAAATTATCTCTAATCTAACGTATTAGTATTAGCCTCAAAATTTAAAAGCAAAAATAAAAGTTTTCCATTTTTGAAAATAAAAAAATTTAAAGAATTTTAGCAGTTTTTTTAAAATTTATTTTGAAATGTACACTTCAAAAGAATACTTGCCTGCGGTTCTTTTTTGCTTTCCTTTGTTTCTTGTTGCAATGTAGGAACCAGCTGATTTAGTGCACATTTATTGATAACCACTATTATTGTTATCCTTCAGGACACGGGGTCAATTTTTGTAGTTTATGAGTAAAGAATAAAGCACAAATTTTTTATTCCTTTTTAAAAGCGGAGGTGTGACTATTGTACACTGCACACAATACTATCTTAGTGCAAGCGGATCCTTTGACCAATTTTGCACATTTTCAGTACCAGCCTGCAGGCAAGAACTTCCAATACTTCTGTCAAATTTGAAGACCATAGCTTCATTTTTGCAACTTACATTACACAGACGGAGAGGCGGGCATGCTTTGTGGAGTCTCTGAAGCTTCCTTCTGAGCGCTGCAAACGTTTTGGCCCATCCTTCAGTGTTGGATAAAAAAAAACTTCTATAATTCAACTCGATTACCATTGAAAGTTTTCAATCTCGTCGGTATGTAGAGCCTAAAAGGTTGGTATACTAACAGAACTAAATGTAGGAAGTTGAATTTTGACACAAATGTTCTTTGATCGATTAAAAATAAAAAAATATGTTGTTTAAAAATGTGTGTGATCCTTTGACTTGCACATTCACAATGAAGAAAAACAAAAATGACCTCAAAAACCATTGACAATTTTGTCTAACTTTCATCTATGGCTTCCAATCGGAGTCCCGTCGGAATCTCCGGCACTTTCTGAGGCAAAGTTTATGACTAAACCAATCGCGAACATTTTTAGACCGAGCATGCACGGCGAATACTTGGGCAGCAGTTTTTCAATAATATATTCTGCTAATCGATCGGGGATGTTTTTACCAAATTTCAGCATCCTATCTTTATTTTTCCGATTGTGACGATTCACAAAAGTTATATCCGGCAATATATTGTGAACAGTCGTAGCTCTAGTTAACCCGAGATATGATGAAAGCTGCTCAACACAATAGTTTTTTCAAATTATTTATTACATTATTATATATATTTTAATTTAGTATATTTTTATGAAATAATTCTAAGGCCTTAAGTGATGTGCCCTGTGATATAATTATACACAGCTTGAAATTCTGTCAAAAGGAAAAATACAACTCGAAATTCTGCTAAAAAGCTTTCTTTAATCAGAACCATCTATTTTTTATTTTGTATACTTATACTTGGAAACATAATAAGAAAAGTATGCGCGAATACGAAAAACTTTATATCTATAAATGTTATTACAGTCTTACTTACTTTGAATCTGAAAGTTCCGCTTCAACGTACTGTATATTGAACGAAATGTAACGTTGGATCATATGTAATACAAATCATTCCTACAAATTTCACAAAAGTTTATTGAAGCGTTTGGAGAATACGAAATGTAGAACGCTTTAATATAAACAGCGAAACGAGATCCAACTACATTTGGTTTTTTTGTACGTCTATATACATTTATGTACATACATAGCTCAGATGCAGTTAGAGTTCGAAATTGTACATGCTTTTGCTTTGTAAACGTTTGTTACAGTGTGAGATAATAAGGAATTGACGCAATAAGGCGCCATTTACATTTTCGTGTTAAAATCTCCCAAGTAGTAAACGCAATAGGCGGTCATATTGTTTTAGAGAAAAATGTAAATAAAAACATATGCTTTTACCAACAAAAATAAAGAAATTAACGTAAATATAGATTTATAAAACATAATTTCGTAATCCTCATAATATGCGTAAATTTTATGACCTCATCGATAATTTGCAAACCACCTTTAATAAAACAAATTGATGGATATATTTCAACTTACAAAAAAAGATCTATATCGCTTGTTTCTCTTTTCTTACAAAACAATGCGTGATAT